CAGGGAGATGCAGCGCTTGGGGACAGGTCGTAGCAGGCATGGTGGTGCTGGCTTGATGGTTGGACTGGATGATCTTAGAGGTCTTTTCCAACCTCAATGACTCTGTCAGGCAGGTTCAGGGCACTTCTGCAAGAGGGACAGTGAGTGATACTGTCTGGGTAGGCTGAAGAGCACGTGGAAACAGCCCTGATAAGGGGATAAACAGCTCGTGGCTGTGGGTGCCCAGTGGCATGGCCAGCCTGAGGGCAGGAGGGTGCTGTGCAGCGAGAGCAGGGATGAGTGGATGGCCACGCATTAAGAACAATTCTTCGCTTCCTCCGAGCCCGTCCCCTCTGCGCTCCCAGGGGCTGCCAGATGCTCCCAGGCCAAAGCAGCATAAGCCAGACACGAGGCAAACACAACCCCCACGCAGGAAAATGCCCTTCCTAGCAGTGAGTCTGTACCAAGCCTTCCCCCCACCCACTCCAGCAGCTCACTGTTAACGAGGATGTCAATGTGCTGGAACTCTTTCAGTGCCTCATCCACCTTAAAAGTTTATTTGGAAACTAAATCTGCTCTACATGTAAATTGTTTTAGTCTGGTGGGGAACACTGCCCAAATTAAAAATAGCACTAAGCTTGCATCTGTATTGCAACACCAATTATCTAAGCCACCCACTATTCCCAGTGCCATGCCCATGCCTGCTGACATTGACAATATTTGTGTACGAAAGATGGGCTGCGAAGATTTTATGTATGAAAGATAGGCTATGAAGATGGTGAGGGGACTGGAGCATCTCTCCTACAAGGAAAGGCTGAGGGAGCTGGGCTTGTTTAGCCTGGAGAAGAGAAGGCTGAGAGGGGACCTTATGAATGCCTACAAATATCTTAAGGGTGGGTGTCAAGAGGATGGGGCCAGACCCTTTTCAGCGGTGGCCAGCGACAGGACAAGGGCCAATGGGCACAAACTGAAGCACCAGAGGTTCCATCTGCATACAAGGAAGAACTTCTTCACTCTGAGGGTGACGGAGCCCTGGAACAGGCTGCCCAGAGGGGTTGTGGATTCTCTTTCTCTGGAGATATTCAAAACCTGCCTGGATGAGGTCCTGTGTAGCCTGCTGTAGGTGACCCTGGCAGGGGGGTTGGACTAGATGATACCCAGAGGTCCCTTCCAACCCCGACCATTCTGTGATTCTGTGAAGGGTTAGACCCAGACCTTGTAACAGGCAAGCAGAAAGTCAGGCAGGAGCCACGTCCCTGTCAGCACGCAGCAAATGCTGCAGGCAGGGGAGACACCTGCATAAACACGGCCAGCTTCTGCCCGGCAGCACCCTGGAGCTAAGCCCTGGGGGAGCCAGTGAAAACTCCTGCAAGTCGCATCCCAGCCAAATGCCAGTCTGGCCCTGGGGCCACAACTTGCCAAGCCCAGCTACCTCTGGGGCCTGCCATCGACACAGCACATCCCAAGCAACACCTCTGCAGGGCAAGTACAAAGGTTGGACCCCAACAAGGCATTTTTGGCACTAACCCAGACATAATTAACCTTTAGATCCAAAAATCTCAGCAGGCAAAAGGGCAAACGCAGAGCAGCAGTTGCCAAGGTCTCTGCCTGCGAGGCAGAGTGGGCCAGCTCTTCGGCTCAGTGTCTGCCACGAACCACCCCTGAGGCGCTCGTTAAGAACACGACCTTCCCAGGGTTGGACCAGACGACCCACAGAGGTCCCTTCCAACCCCTACCATTCTGTGACTTCTCCTGTTGCACTGCTCCCAGGGCTCCCAGTGGAGAGGGCAGAAGGATTTCCAGGCATTCACAGCTCTCCTGTCTGCCTGCCTGTCCCGCTGGAGCCCACAGACCCACCTCTGACACTCGCTGCAGGTTCCGGCTTGCGATGACCGTCCGGCAGCCGGGCCTACAAAGGA